TGTGTGTGTGTGCGTCGGTATGGGTGTACCTCAACCAAGGCTCAATTACATAATGAAACAGCTACCACGCGTATCACTAACCACGCAATCCCGACGTGATTCAGCACATAGGGTTGCCTTGTGGGTACCCCTTTGTTTCTAAAATTACTGCACGGGTACTTTTTTACAGTAGCGACACTCGCGTTACTTAAATTTGTTACTTAAGTCTTAATGCTTATGGGATTCGGTAAATAGTGGAATTTTGTAATGTATTAACTAGTAATTGATAGTTTCTGCCTGCCAGTGAGAGAAATTATCAATGCTGTTTGGTCATGACCTCGACCCATATGGAAATGAGTTATCAGCTGACCGGCATGTGATGTGCTGATGAATATACTGCGTATGCTGTCGATTTTTATATAATGTATTTCCAAGTCAATTTAGCTTGAAAGCATGGATGCTACGGCAGGGAATCTGACTGGAATTAATTACTGTCAATGTAAAACAATGCAAAACGCGTACAAATTAATTATGGCGTGTCATGTGTATTATAGCACCACACATCATTTTACTTCACTAAAAGAACTCGCTCAAATCAAATGAACAATGCACAATCCCAAAAAAGATCACATAAGTACAAAATATATCGCAAAACAGATATTCAAAATACTGAGCACTCGAAACCCGAAGCAAATGGACTCGCCGGCAACCGCCCGAGATCAGCTGACGGAGGAGGACCCGAGGCAGCAGGACGGAAACATGGCTGTGGCAAAGTACATCGCTTTTGCGGCCTTTATTATCTTTGCTGTGAGTATCATTTTGGTTTTGGGTAAGAGTAGAAGGCATAGGAAAGATTAGATGAGCTTGAGATGTGTTGAAGGCCCAGAAATAGGATTTTTTTTTTACGTCGTTTGGAGTGGTAGGCGCAAGGAGAGAAGGGAGTGTTTATCCCAAAATTTTGCTTGGTAACAAAGACACGTCGTAACTTTGTGGCAGGCGTTAGGGTTAATAAAGACTATATGAACTGTTATCACCTCGTATGTGAGTGCAGATGTGGGGAAACAGCGGCTGAAATCGATAAGAGAGGCCTCTTACTTCCCGCATTGATTTAAAGCTGATGAATGTTTTAGTGTTTACATTGAAATGTTTGCACAGTGTTGAGGCATGCACTTCCTGCAGGACGTTGTTTATTTCGTCTTTCTGTCTATGTGCATCTCAGGTTCTGTTATTATTCTTATCGAAATGAGGCTCCAGAGGTTTTGTACTGGGGATGTCATCAAATTTGGTAATAAATTAGAAATGGAAGGATTTGCAACATTTTTTTTCTTTGCCTATTGTTACAACAGGGTGGGATGTTTGTTGTAAAGTTACCAGAGACCTTCAGCAGCTTTTGCTCTGTGGAGAGAAATGAATGTCTGTAATGTCAGGTTTCATTGTCGTTTCATATTGCAGTATTTTGGAATGTCATAAATCTTTGTGCTGCTTTCATTAAAGCAGTGTCATATGTTTAACTGTAGCCAGAGATTGATACAATTAACAAAAGTAATTTGTGATTACCAGAGATTAGTGAAGGTAATCCTGGCTGTGGAAAAGAGGCAGCAAGATGAATAATTTTCAAGTTATTTCTCATTTTAGAGGCTATACAGAATTACTTAAATTGTGTAAAGTTATAAGATTAAGAATGCTAAATGAGTTTGTTGTTGAGAGAATAACAGTTTCAATTATCAATTCATCCCACAAGGCTCCATAGCAAGTAAAGTGATACAGTAAAAGATGGTCATATTTTATAAATATAAAACTTTTTGAAGGTATATAATCTCTCTAGATGCAGATTTCTCTTCTACTGCAAATAAAATATAGATGAATCATAATCAGGATCTGGATGAAAACTAGAATTTAAGATTTAGAATTAGACAATATTTATTGCTGTATATCATGTAACTTCAAATATTGTCAGAAAGGGTTTTGTTAGTTGCTCGAAATATAACAAGAAGTGATGCTGTGGCCTCTGTGTCTTATGCTCTGATTGAGCTTAACAGATAAGGTAGAGCTCTGGTTGGTTCCTTAGTTAAAAAGAAATCCCCATGGAGGACTGCAAGTTCTATTTTTTAAGATTATAAATTATGTGGATTTGCTTGACTTAGCCGTATGAATATAGCTATGCAGACTTTGATAAGTGATTTTGGCTTTACTTTTGGTAATTCTAAATAAGACAGCCGCACCTCTTTATTATTTATTTATTTATTTATTTTTTCCCTTCCCCCTTCAAACTTGGGGGACACTTGGAGAAATGGGGGTTGATTGGTGGTAGGACATACACGCGGGAGAAATAGTGGAATCAAAAGTGGTAATTTGAACGAGAGTCTATCGCCACTGTGAGATGCGCCGCGCCAGTGCAAATGATGCCGAAATCCTGACGAAATTTCTAAACCTAACCTAACCTGGACCCCCTTCCCTGGGGTATTTCCCTAATGGAGGCAAGCCCCTGGATCCCCTTCCCTAGGGGTATTTCCCTACTGGGGACCAGCCCCTGGACCCCCTTTCCTAGTGGTATTTCACTGTACTTTTCAGAAAGCTCACTGTTCTTCGAGACAGTATGAGACATCATGATTTGTGGACTCTTAGAAAGGCAACCTTTGAATTTGAATCAAAGCAAGACCAATGAGGTCCCCACAATTTTATTAACTTCCCTAATATGTATGAACACTAGTCAATAATTCTATTATGCTTTCCTAGGTATATGTAGTGTGGCTGCCTTAATTAGGACTACCTTACTTTTTATTGTGGCAGTTAATTTTTATGCCAGATATTTTTGGTTTAGGTGACTATTTTTTAGTGAAAGAAATTATAACAGATTAGGGCTCTAGTCAAGTTATTTCATTTAAGCATATCTCCTGGTTTAGTTTCTCAGAATATTTTTATGGAGTATAGACATCGTATCTTGTCGGATATTTTGTGGCTTCAGTCATGCAGCAAGATTCATGACCATAGCAGGGTACTTGGAGGATGACATGGCTGTTCTTGACGTTTGCCATTTATCACTTTTTGCAGCCTTTCATATTTTGCCTTGTTTACCCTTTTTTATCTTTTCATTTCAATGTTCTGATTTCATGTATTATTATTATTTTTTTTTTTATTAATTTATTTTTTAATTATTATTATTTTTTTTAATTAATTAATTTTTTTTTTTTTTTTTTTAATTAATTTATTTTATTATTATTATTATTATTATTTTTTAATTAATTATTTTTTTTTATTATTTTTTTTTTTTTAGTTTTCATTTAATTTATGCTTCTCTTAGTGACTACCTTCAAATATAGGCCTTTCATTCAGTTTGTGGATAAATAATACTTACCTCTTCAATATAAATTAACCTCTTTGCAGGGCACTGGTATAGCAGTAGGCTATACTGGTGGGAGTTTGTTGACAGCATATGTAGCCTATCTCTCCCCATGGCTGCCTGGTTGGCTATGGATTGCAGTGGGAATTATCATGGTCCTGGGAGTTGGAATAACTGCCACAAGCACTGCAGGAGCAATTGCAACACTGGCCCCAAAACCTAAGGCCTTCAAAACGGTAAGACATGTTAGTATTTATTTAGGAGATGGGATGTTTTTATTTGTTGGGTCAAATTTTTATTACAAATTCCTTTTTCATGTGATACTAACCCCTTGGATCCTGATGACAGGAATATCATGTCATGAAAAAATTTGGGTTGAGAGACAGATGATGTTACTGCCATGTCATGAAGAAATTTGGCTGATGGATAGTGTGACACTGCTATTGCACCATTAAAAAAATTGGATGAGGGATAGGTGATGGGAACATTGTCTCATTGGAAATTGTTGTTATTGGACGGGGGACAGCCACATATCCTCATCAGTTAGTATATCTGCAGTACGGGAAGTTGTTCTAGCACTGTAAGAGATGGATTTTCTTTATTAGAGAGAGAGAGAGGAATAGGCAGAGAAAGAAGGAGCAGGAAAAAGAGAGAGGGGGGAGGGTGGAGAGAGAGAGAAGGAAGAAAGGGAGGGTGCAGGAAAGAGAGAGAATGGGGAGGGGGTAGAGAGAGAGAAGGAAGAGAGGGAGGGTGCAGGAAAGAGAGAGAGGAAGGATGGGGAGGAGAGAGGAAGGATGGGGAGGAGAGAGGAAGGATGGGGAGGAGAGAGGAAAGATGGGGAGGAGAGAGGAAA